AGAGAAACTGCCACTCACAAGTTCCAACTTGATCATCATACATTAGCCCCTCTGTACTTTTTTTTTTTTCCTCCAGTCTCTATCATTTTAAAAGGACAGAGGTTCTCAACCTCCTTCCTCTTGTTCATGAGTGAACGGTGCAGTACAGAAATTAAAACCGTAAACCCTTAATTTGCTCACAAACACTCTGCAGAATAAAAACTGAATTTGTACCTACCCCCTGCCTTGGGAAATTAATCCATCAACAGCACTATGGTTTACAAAAGGATTTTTGAATCTCAAACTCTACCAAGGTTTATTTTATTACGAATAGACTAGGATGTGGACGGTGAAGGAAGACAGAAGGTGGGCTATTTATTTCCCATGACTAATATAGTAGCAGACTTCGTTAGAGCAAGAAGTTAAACTATATACGATATTTTTAATTGACACCAGTCATAAAATCCTAAAACAACCCACTACAAAAGGTATTCATTTAACTCTTGCCAAATATAACATCAGTTTTCAAGCTACAGTATTTTTAGCCTTACCACTACAAATAAAATTAACCACCTGTCACTCTAAAATGTTTAAGACCGCCTTATACAATACATTTTAGTATTTTTTAAAATAGAGAAGATAAAGAATCCAAAGTAATTAAGAGTTCCTTTCTCCTTCCACAAGGTTGAGAAAGTTAACTATTATAAAATAAAGTCCAATATAAGATGGAAATAAATTTATACATTTTCACAACTTAAGCCCCAACTTTGCAATCACTCTTTCAGAAATATATTCAATATACATACTTATGGACTAGTGCAAAGACTTAAATACTAGTTGTTCACTATAGCAGCATTTGTAGAAAGCTAAAACAATCTAAATGTCTGTTAACAAGGAATGGTAAAATAAATCACGGAAAATGAATAAATTATGGTTCATCTACACTACCCAGGGCATTCAGTCTTTTTTAAAAATCAGGTGGGGGCTCCTGGTTGGCTCAGTCAGTTAAGCATCAACTTTGGCTCAGGTTATGAACTCATGGTTTGTGAATTCAAGCCTTGTGATGAGCTCTGCGCTGACAGCTCAGAGCCTGGAGCCTGCTTAGGATTCTGGGTCTCCCTCTCTCTCTCTCTGCCCCTCCCCCACTCACATTCTGTGAGTGTGCGTGTGTGTGTGTGTGTGTGTCTCAAAAATAAACATTAAAAATAAATAATCAGGTGGACATATGTGCAAATAAAGAAAAGTCTCTAAGATATATCAAGGGTAACAACGAAAGAAGATAACTCTCCTAAACAAAGCCAATTACATATGTAATAAAAAATTTGGAGGAGGACATACAGGAAACCACTCACAGTGGTTGCCTGGATTAGGGGGTGGGAGAGTAGAAAAGGGAAAAGGCTAGAAGTCTGTTGTGGAAAGAAGGCTTCTTTTGCACCATATAACATTTAAACTGTCGTTATCAATTTTTTAAACTCCCACAAACATCTACTGCACCCATGAAGTGGGCATTCTCCTTCCGGGTACGCATGCCACGTCTTCCCCCTTCTCAACCACTTGTATCTACTGCTCTCCTGACCCAAACAAAAGCACACAAAAGCAAAGCTCAGAGTTCCCCCAAGAAACAGAATCCTCTCTCCAGCCCCCACCAGATAAAAAAATAATAGAACAAATGAAAAAGTAACACTTACGCCAAACCCAGTTTTTAGCCAATGTTTGATTCCTTTTAAATCTAGCCTAATTTACTGTAGGGCAGAAAGTTTTAAAAGTCAAAGTGCAACGTGCAACGCAAAAAAATCATTTCCAAAGGTGTCTATCTTAAAAGGAAAAATGGAGAAAAAGGGCAGATTTTGCTCAATACCTTCCTTCTGAAATTTTAAAAGTTAAGTTTTGAATGACGGTCATAAAGTCTATTGTTTGCAAACTGGATAAGGTAGTACGTTTTCCTGGTTAAAGGTCCATCTCTCCATTCAGAGTCTCCAGAAAGCAATCAACTACCCACAAGGAAAAGGCTATGAAACGGCCTCTATTTTGTAGGTGCAATGGATAGCGCTCCTCTGGTGAAGACGGAAGAACTGTATTTTCTCTTAAATGATCCTCATCAACATTCCCAGCATGCTGCAGAGAGAATTTCTTTTTCTATACATCATCAATTCTGTCCCTTTTCACACTAGGAGCAGGATAAACAATTCACAAAGAGCTTTGCAAGAAACAGCTCTCATTTCTAGTAAAGATCTGTTTTTGGTTTTGTTTTGAGAGAGAAAGAATCTATTTGCCAAATATACCCCCATATCAGTTTTTTCCTTCATTATGGAGATGCTTAAATCATAACAAAAGAAGGCTTCTGTTTTTTAATTATTATTTTTATTATTATTTAAATCCAAGTTAGTTAACATATGGTGTAATAATGATTTCCGGAATAGAATTTAGTGATTCATCACTTACGTATAACACCCAATGCTCATCCCAACAGGTGCCCTCCTTAATGCCCCTTGCCCATTTAGCCCATCACCCCCACCCAAAACCCATCCAGCAACCCTCAGTTTGTTCTCTGTATTCAAGAGTCTCTTATGGTTTGTCTCCTTCTCTGTTTTTATCTTATTTTTGAGAAAGAAGGCTTCTCTTGTATGTCTACCTATCAAGACTGTTAGTTACGGTGGTTTCCACAAGGGATTTTCCAAAAGGGAAACTGTTCACTGGGAACTGAAACTCCTAATTAAGTTACTATTAGCTGGAGAAAAATCAAAAGCAACATTAGGGAACACTCTGTATATAAGAATGGATAAGAAAATGAGATGCCAAAATTTAGCCAAAGAATTAAAGGAATCTGGTAAGCAAGACCAACTTACCATTACTTTGTAAGTAATAACTAAGGTTCTCTATAAATGAAAATCCAGGTAAAATAAGCTGAGTTCCAAAAAGAAAAGGAAAACAAGGTTAAGAGTATCAAGTATTCTGTGATTCAAAGTTATTTTGCTTAACATTTTTAAAGCCAAAAATGATCAAATTACACTTGAGCAATAAAAAGTTATTTCTAGTTTACAATGAATTCATTCCAATAATAAATCACAACCTCAATACACTTTCTTCTGTAACAGAACTTACGTAAGAACTCGGTATAGTCTCATTCCACATTTTTGAGGATTTGCAAAATAGGTGAGGCCTTTCACTCAAAAGACTACTTTGTAACTATGGATTCTTTCAGTAAACTTTTTTATATCTTTTCACTGACATTTATTTTGTTTCTAGACATCTTTAATTATCTTCTCACATCTGGCCAAAAAACAAAAAAAGGAGTGGGGGTAAAATTACCACAATATACTCAGGAACTAACAAACTATTCTGAAGCCAAACATTCTGCAAAAGTTCAATTAGGATTTCCTTATCACACTTCATAACAATAAATACCTACCAACAAACCTAACAAAGCATAATACAACACTTCATACAAAATGACTGAAAGCTTCTAATTAAACAGGCAGTAACAAACTTCTAGCTTTCCTCTCTATTCCAATCCTAAGATCCGTATCAATGATTCACAGCGTGACCTAACTTTCTAAATGAATCACTTTCTGAAATTCTTACTCCAACGTGAATCTAACACCAGGTCATCATCTCTACATTTGTTAAACAGAGGATAAACAGAAGTTAAGCAGGGTTCATTCGTCAAGACGCCCAAACCACAGCAAACCTCAAGTCTTTGCCAACTAACTTTTATCTGCAATTGCACCCTTATATACAGATTCATCCCCAAATAAAATAAAAATGTTATCCTGGGGGGAAAAATGTTATTCTAAACATTATGAACTCGCCCACCCGTACCCCGTTCACCGTCCCTCTGGTTCCATTTACTGCATCCACGTTCTCTTCCCATTGTGAGAACATAAAGTAATGGCTACTGTCCTTACATCTTCTCTTTCACCCAATTAAACTACTCTGCAGTTTTTGTTTATGGCAGAAATGCTGAGTCATTAAATGGAAACTCAAAGAAAATGAGCTACAAACAGTTAAAGTTTAGGACACAGTATTTCCCTAGCCGTTTCTCGGCAGCCTGGTATTTGTATCTCCCACGGCGGAAAAGTAGAGCAAACACTTGAACTTTTTTCCTCCCCTCTAAGAGAGGCAAAGAGGTGCGTTTCCATAGGTCCGCCAGCTTCCTGCTGGATATCCACAGGCAAGAGAAGCAGGCCTGACTGGAGCTGTATAACTTAACGATCTGGGTGTGAATAACGCCACATATTAGTCAAGCATTAACCCTGACACTCCTAGCAAGCGCCTGTTATGCCCGCGCTTCAGTTCGGGTCAAGGAGGAAGAAAGAAAAAAAAATCCCATAAAAATGCTACGCCCTCCACCGGCCTGACACCGTTCGCTGGGGTGTCGCGCTGGGGAGGAGATGAAGGAGCCCCGAACACCGGAGGCAAAAGGGACAGCGGCCCGATGTAATTTCTTCCACAATGGGAGAGACCCTTGCCCCCCGGCGCAGACGGAGGGTGCGCGTTAGAAATCAGGCGTGCTGCCGGCGAACGCGGTAGGCGGGGGGCGACCCCGACCCGGAGCCGGCGGGGAAGCCCGGCCCCCAGCAGGGGTCAGCGGCGGCGCGGGTCGCACGGGCTGCAGGCCGAACAGGGGCCTCCGGAGCCGGCGGGAGAAGCGGTCCTTACCTGTCCCTGGGCGCGGACTGTGACTGCGGCGCCGCCCGGGAAGGGCTGGGGCGCGCGGGTCGGCCGCCGGCACCCGGACGGGCGAAGAGCGAGGAGCGGAGGGCGAGGGGCGCGGACGGCGGACTGGCTCCCAGGCTCCCGCAGGCTTGCCCGGCCGGACGCAGCGGCTCCCGGCGCCCGCAGCGGGTCGCTCAGTCACGCCGGCGGCCCCGCGGCGCGGTGGCTGACACGGAGACAGCGGGAACCGGCCCCCGAGAGGAGCCGCAGCCCCAGCGGCAGCCGAAGGAGGCGAAGGAGGGGCGGGGCCACAGGGTCGGTGACCCGCTCACCCGGAAGCAGTTGCGGCGGCGGCGGCGCGCGCTGCGGGACAGGCGGGTTCGCGGCCTGGCGAAAAGACTGCCGGCTCTCCCGCGGCCGGCTGCGCGGGGTGCCGGGAGCAGCAGCCCCCGCCGCGACCGCTGCGAGCTGCTGGCGCCGCGCCGGAGGGAGGGCGGCAGGGTGCGACCGCCGGTGGGCGGAGGCCCGGGCGGCCTAGAGGTGGCTTCTCGGGGCCCGCGGAGGACCGGGGACAGGGAAGGTGAACTGAGGCGGTCGCCCGCTCGAGCCTGCACCTGCCCTGATCGCCCCTAAACTGTCCGGCCTAGTGGGCTTGGGTAAGTGGGCCGGGCGGCGGCTCCGACTGCAGGGAACGAGCGTGCGAGAGCGAGCGGGTGTAGCGGCAACGCTGAAAGCCCTGTTTCCAAAATGAAAACCCGTGATTTTGAAATGATTTCCGGAGAAGGCGGCGGCGGTGGTTGGGGGGGGGGGGGAGGGGCGGAGATGGCGGGATATGGAGGCAGTTAAATAGCTGCCAGACCCGGACCTGTCGTTCATTCCAGAAGTGTCTCTTTAGTCTCTTGAGACTCAGCAGGTTCAAGGCGCTGGAGGCAGACCCAGGGCCTTGCTCTTTAGGAAGCTTACCTTCTAGTGGAGTAGAGAGGTTTAAGCAGACAGACAAGGTAAAGACGGATTGTGGCAAGGCTATGCCATGCGGGAAATACAGAAGAATGATGCGAGGGTTGAGTGGGCGAGACCCCCTTTTTCGGGATAGTCTGGAGGGAAGTGATAGTTGAGCTGCTTCCTGAGACAAAGACATGAAATGACAACTTAGACACAGTTTTACAGCCGGGGACTGTAGGTTCCAGAACTGCTGCGTAAGGCCGCGGATTATGGTAAAAACCTGTCTCCCAAAGCCTGCTTCTTTTTTTTTTTTTTTTTTTTAATTTTCCTTTTAATGTTTATTTTTTGAGAGAGAGAGAGAGAGAGAGCAAGCGGGGGAAGGGCATAGAGAGAGAGAGGGAGACCCAGAATCTGAAGCAGGCTCCAGGCTCTGAGCTGCCAGCACAGAGCCCGACTGTGGGCTCGAACTCACAAACCCTGGGATCATGAACTGAGCCAAAGTGGGACGCTTCGCCGACGGAGCCACACAGGCGCCCCCTCCAAAGCCTTCTAAGGGCTGTCTCTGTCCTGTCCGCTCCTTCAGTTTCGAAGGGCTTGCTCCCCCTTGGGAGTTGTTGGGGTCTGGGACTGTGGCTTCTTAGCGGAGGTTCAAGGCAGGAATTAGGGAGCTTTGGTGTGTAGACAGACATCAACAGATGCTTGAAGGCAAACAGCCCCGGAAGACAAATTCTTTAACCTTTTACCGTTTCTTTTCCCACGTCACTTTTCCTGAAACCCATGAGTAAACATTAAAACTATGATTTTTACCTGGGAGCTTACTCCTCCCAAAAGATGGAGCTGTGTTATGATCTGAATAAGAGAATTAATGACCTATTTTGCTAAATCAGTTAAAGACAAAATTAAAAGCGGACTTGCGAAGAGAGGACCTTTTCAGGTTATAACGCATTACCTGAATAATACCAAAAAACCCAATAATGTTTATTCAATTTTAGTTTATATAACTGCATAATTAACGGGACGATTGTTTGGATAATAATAGTGGGATTAGAATCTCGAGCCCTTTTTGCTTACTCCTTGGCCATTTGTTTTGGTTCATAGCAAACTAACAGAAATATTTTGTCGTGTCTTCTGGGAAAACTGGGAGCGAGCTCACACTTCTTGCTGCCTACTGTTTGCACAGCATTGTGCTAGGCATTTAAATACATTATCCCTTTCAGGACTGGGACCAACCTTGAGATACGGGGATTATTATACCCATTGTCGTAACGAAGACATAGTCGCTGGAAGGGTCAGAAATTAAACTCTAACTGATGAACTCTAATTAACTCTAGCCCTAATTCCCCTTTTGCACCATGTGCTATACTCAAATATTTAAGAAGGAAATATAAGTCAAGTGTCCAGCCAAGCAGATTTGTATGTTGCTTTTAGAATTTTGTTACAAAAATAAGCTTTAAGGTCGAGTGATACGAGGCAATGTTGGAGCGAGCTTCTCTGCGTTTTTACTTCTCCCTCTAAAGGATATTTGCCATCTATTTGACACCAAAAAACAACTCTACTTGTTTTAGGAGTTCAGAATGCCATGTGTCTTTTGGTTGGTTGGTGGTTTTATGTGAGCGGAAGAGAGCGCCAGCAGGGGAAGGGCAGAGGGAGAGGGGGAGAGAATCCTTAAGCAGGCTCCAAGCTCAGTGTTGGAGCTTGAGCTCCAAGCTCAAGACCTTGGGACCATGACCTGGCGGAAATGAGAAGAGTCAGGCGCTCAACCTGCTGAGCCACCCAGGCACCCTCGCCCTGTGTCTTTTAAATGCTCCCAATAATGTGATAAATGATGACACTAACATTATGTCAGTGCAAGGGGCTCCTGCCCAACTGTGTCAGTCTGCATTCTTTCGCAAGCAGCCTTTCCTTGCACACAAAGTGACTTCTTTCTGCCAAAAATATGTTCCCAGATTTTTATGGAATATTCTGACATGTGAATGCCCCCAGGTCTGTGTAGGCTGGCTGCTCTAGAGACATTTAACGGATGAAGGAAAATCTTGCAAGTGTTTATATGGTTTTGAGGAATGAGGTAGTAGGATTTGTACATTTTTGTTTCGTTCCTATCAGATCCTTCACGTTTTTCTTTGATGATGTCAAGAAATAAAACTTTTCCTTTCTCAAGAGCAGTCGTTTTTTGTGGTTTTCACAAAATTCAGTTGTCTTTTGCACACATAGTACTACGTGTTGCTCTCTGCACATTTCCAGAAAACATCATTAGTTCAGACATTAAAAATAGGATGCGACTTTTCAAAGCCTCATGTTTTTATTAATGAGATGTGTGTGTCTTTTTCATTTTGGTTAACTCCTTATAAACCTATGGGAATCTGGCAAAGCAAGTCTTTGACTATGTATATTTAAGTTCTCGTTCTAAAAATCCCTTCTTATCTACATTTACTGTTTTTCCTGCTGTCTCTTTATTTTATTTATGTGTTTATTTCACTTTTTATTTGGAAATAATTATAGACTCGCAAAAGGGTACAAAAATAACGCAGCGAGGTTACCCTCCACCCAGGTTCACCCTCTGGCAGCATCTTGTGTACCCATAATACATTATTAAAACTAGAAAATTGGGGCGCCTGGGTGGCGCAGTCGGTTAAGCGTCCGACTTCAGCCAGGTCACGATCTCGCGGTCCGTGAGTTCGAGCCCCGCGTCAGGCTCTGGGCTGATCGCTCAGAGTCTGGAGCCTGTTTCCGATTCTGTGTCTCCCTCTCTCTCTGCCCCTCCCCCGTTCATGCTCTGTCTCTCTCTGTCCCAAAAATAAATAAACGTTGAAAAAAAAAATTTAAAACTAGAAAATTCACATCTTGCTATCTTCTTTAGGTTTTTAGTTTCTTTTTAAGTTTCATTATGTCGAAAATTACCATTTTGTAACAATTCATTTGTACTGTATTTGATTTGGCTCTTCTCCCTTTCCCAGATTAACAAATGACAAAGTCCGTAAGCTTGCCACAGTGCTCCTCTGGAATTACAAGCTTACTATGACAATTCTGTGTTTCAGCACTCTTAAAAGGAAGTCATTTGTAAGATTTTTGGTTTTTTCTGCTTATACTGCTCCATGTCATTCTGCCCTAATAAACCTGTAAATTTATACAACCTGTGTATGTGGGTGTTTTAATATATCCTTTGACCACTGAAATGTTTTCAAAGAGGTTGCTATTAAAGTAAAAAGAAAAATAATGCAAAGCTTTTTCATTTGAGGGGAAAACTTTCTAGTGCTTTCTTTCCTTCTTTCTTTCTTTTTTTCTTTATTTCTTTCTGTCTGTCTTTCTGTCTTTCTTTCTTTCTTTCTAGAGGGAGAGAGAGCGTGTGCACACCAGCAGGGGAGGAGCAGAGACATGGGGAGAGAATCCCAAGCAGGCTGTGCACTGATGACGTAGGACTTGATCTCAGGAACCACGAGATCATGATCTGAGCTGAAATCAGGTGCCCCTGACTGGGGAAAAAAAAAGTTTCTAAACATCTAACTATCCGAGTGAGAATACGAGGCATGGTCTGTTGGTTCAGAAGCCAGATCTCACTTCTGGTTCATTCTGGCTCTAAATGAATTCTAGCCAGCTCACCCTTTACTCCACCAGAGAATAAACAAAGGAAAGAAAAGAAGTGTAACTTACTTTCTTCAGTCTTAGCGTTGAGAAGAAGTTGATGAGGAGAGAGAATTTGGGATTTGGGGTAGGTATCACTTATGTATGAATGCCTCATCACAAATAATCAAGTGATAGCCCTTATGTGTTATATATTTATTGTAAATAAGTAGTCAAATGCTCTTCCTTCTATGGCTTGTTTAGCAAATGTATTCGTCTACTGTGTACCAGTTGCCCAGTTAGACGCTGGTGACAGAGACACAACAGGATCTATTTTTTTAAGGAGTATTAAGCCCTTACTATGTGCCAGATACTTCATAGATGCTAGGGATCCAAAGGGAAGTAAAAAGAAAGCTGTGTTTTCTTCTCGTGAAACTTCCTGTCTGGTGAGGGAGACAAATTATCACACAAAAGTAACTTTATAATCCCAATAGGTATTACTAAGGGTAGAGAAGTGGTGCCTGAGGGCATTAAAGTGGAATTCTACCAAATCTGGGGTGTCAGAAATGGCTTCTAGCAAGAGAATCTTTGAGCTAAGATTTAAAACTGCCTCATAGTGAACTTGATACAGAAGCACAGGAAGAGCAAGGGAAAACAGAGTCCCAGAGACTGAAAAGAAACGAGGGAGATAATGTGAGAGGGATCTAGAGAATTAAGCAAAGACCCACCATGCAGGGTCTTACAGGTTTGGTAAGGATTCTTATCTTTGCTTCTGAAGTGATACAAACCAATTTAAGAGTTTTTAGTAGGAGTGGCATCAGATTGGTGTTTCCAAAAACTCACTCTGGCTTCAACGTGAAGAATTCACTCTTTAAGTATGTTCTGAGTACCCACTATAAGCCAGGTTACAGTCTGCACACTGAGCGTGCAGCAGTGAACAAAACAGAAAGATTCCCTAACTTTGAGGATCATATTATAGACAATACACAGTAGTATATAAGATAGTAGTATCTAAGAAGCTCTATAAAGAAATTTGGAATCCAGGTGAGAATAAAAAGGTTGGGTGGTGGTGCATTTTATTAGCTTGAACCATATGAAGCTCCTGATCTTTTTTACGTTGTTTTCAACTCAGAACAATATTGGGTTCCTGTGGGTTAAACATGGTTGGATGGCATTAAATTGTTCAACCTAATACTTACTTGGAAGAGTCAGAGAAGACCTCTAATGAGGTGATCCAAAGAAAGAGGCAAGCCATTCACATACCAAGGAGAAGAGCATCCCAAGCAAAGGGACAGCAAGTGCAAAGACCCTAAAGCAAGAATGTGCCTGCCGTGTTTGAGTAAGCAACAAGGAGACCATTGTGGCTGAAGGGTAATGGTCAACGGGGAAGAATGGTAATAGGGACCAGATCATAGATTCTTGAAGACCATGGTAAGAAATTGGCTTTTCCTTTTTGAATGAGGTAAGCTGTCAGAGAGTTTTGGGCAAACGAGCTACACAATCTGTCATCTTAACAGGACCGTGCTATTAATAGTGGACTCTACAGATAGTGGGTATACAGATGGAACATTATAAAATCTTTTCACCTTTTACGTATGTCTGAAAATTTACTTCATAAAATGAGACTGTTGTAGCTGCTCTATTGTAACGAGACTTTAGAGGGCCAGTGATGAGATCAAGAAGACCAGTTAGTCTATTGCAATAATTCAGGCAGCAGTGGAGGTATTAAGAAGAAGTGGTTAGTTTCTGAATACATTTCGAAGATAGAGCCAGTAAGATTTGCTAGTGGAATGGATTTCATATGCAAGAAAAAGAGAAAAGACCACCTGTAAGGTTTTAGGCCTGAGCAACTGGAAGGATGCCGTTGCCATCTACTGAAATTTGGAAGACAGTCTAGGTCACGCAAGTTTGGAGGAAAAGACTTTTTCCGGACGTTTGAGGTGCCTATTGGTCATCTAAATGGAGATATCAAATAGGCAATTAGATACACAAGTCAGTCATTCAGAGGAAACATCCAGAGAGGAAATACAAAGATGTGGATCTACCTAAAGACTAAGGATATGAGGACCAGTGCCTTGAGAATTTAATGGAAATAGTTGGGAGTTTAGTCTAAACCCTCTTTTGTTGTAGGCTGGTTTTGTTTCTAGATAGTTGTCTTTATGTTGCCATTCTGAACACTTAATATGCATACTGTTTGCAACTCATTTGTGTTCTAAAGGATTTAGAATGTTTTTTAGGGGCGCCTGGGTGGCGCAGTCGGTTAAGCGTCCGACTTCAGCCAGGTCACGATCTCGCCGTCCGTGAGTTCGAGCCCCGCGTCGGGCTCTGGGCTGATGGCTCAGAGCCTGGAGCCTGTTTCCGATTTTGTGTCTCCCTCTCTCTCTGCCCCTCCCCCGTTCATGCTCTGTCTCTCTCTGTCCCAAAAATAAATAAACGTTGAAAAAAAAAAAATAGAATGTTTTTTAATGTTTTCATGTCTTTCCAAGCAGATTTTACATTTCTTTAAAAAAGATTTATTTTAGGGGCGCCCGGGTGACTCAGTCGGTTAAGTGACTATGGGTTTCAGCTCAGGTCGTGATCTCAGTCAGGGTTTCATGAGTTCGAGCTACGCTTCAGGGTGTGGGCTGGCAGTGTGGAATCTGCTTGGGATTCTCTCTCTCCCTCTCTGCTCCTCCCCGACTTGCACCGTCTCTGTCTCTCAAAATAAATAAATAAACTTAATAAAAAAGATGTTTTCTTTTATACACTTCACACTGCCATATCCCTAGAAAACTTTTTTTTAATATTACAACGAAAGAGCACAAGCAGGGGAGAGGGGCAGAGTGAGAGAGAGAAAATCTTAAGTAGGCTCCATGCTGAGGGCTCAATCCCATAAGTTTAGGATCGTGACCTGAGCCAAAATCAAGACTCAGATGTTCAACTGACTGAGCCACACAGGCACCCCCCTAGAAGGCATTTTACAATGCTTATATAATAAACTATTCCAATACGGAGTTTTTTATTTCTTTAGTTGTTACAAAGCATCAATTTTCTTATAATTTAGACACTTCTAGCTGTCCTGTTAAAATAAGGGTAGAGTTAGGGGCGCCTGGGTGGCGCAGTCGGTTGAGCGTCTGACTTCAGCTCAGGTCACGATCTCGCGGTCCGTGAGTTCGAGCCCCGCGTCAGGCTCTGGGCTGATGGCTCGGAGCCTGGAGCCTGTTTCCGATTCTGTGTCTCCCTCTCTCTCTGCCCCTCCCCCGTTCATGCTCTGTCTCTCTCTGTCCCAAAAATAAATAAAATCGTTGAAAAAATTTTTAAAAAAATAAAATAAGGGTAGAGTTAGAACTTTCAATCTACTGCCACTCATGCCCATTTCAAATCAGACAAAAGAGAGCCTTCTGAGAAACAAAAAGCAGCAACAAAAAAGGCTCAGCTCTCCTCCATGTTGCCTTTATACTCAGACTTCGTGTGGCCGCAAAATGGTTTCCAACAATTTCAGGTCTACATCCGTCCCCATCCAAGTCCAGCATGAGAAAGATCCTTCCTAGCAGCAGTCCCTGATTCACTAATTAAACCGACACAGATCCCATCCCCAGCTAGGAAAATTTTATGCTGTGATTGGCCAAATATGAGTCACATGCTTCACTTATGTTTCACCCAAAGAACATGGACTGTAGGAGAGGAGTGGTTCCCCAGAAGAAAAAATGGGATGCTGTCAACAAAATAAGGAAATGGACACTGATGGCCAGAAAATAATACGACCTCTACAAATTAACAAAGGCCTAAAGCATTCTCCCAAAGCTTTTAAAAGAAGTAATACCATTGGGGTGCCTGGCTGGTTTAGTCGGAAGAGCACGCAACTTGATCTCAGGGTCGCCGTGAGTTGAGTCTGAGCTCCGCTTTGCGTGTAGAGATTACAAAAAAAAAAAGAAAAAGAAAGAAAGAAAAACGAAATGTCATGGCACTCATTTTGCATCTCTTCCAATTCTATACACAATACTGCATTTCCCTTGTATCATTAGGCTGTCATATATTCATTTGTCATTGATGAGTGAATGTCACAAAAAGTAAATAAATGCATGAGCATAAAAGTTAACCAGCTGGAAGGGGCAGTTTTTCAGCACATCACTTTCCAGGGTACTCACACCTAGGTATTACAGGTAGTTTCTTGTCCTACAATTCTTTCCTGTTGTCAGTCCACCTGAAAAATATTTATTAGCCCTCAGGACCCTGGGGGCAGGGTGGCTACTATCTAAGACGCCTCAGAAATCATTGCAGAAGCAAGTGACAATGAGTCAGCTCAAGTTTATCTTCTTGGAGGACATTTACATAGTGTGGAGTCTTGAAAGAAAAATGTACGTACAGATTTGTTTTCAGCTTCTTTTTGGTTTCACCACTTCCATTCCCTTGTACACTAATAGGTTACTTTCCCCACAAGATGTTTAACCTAACTTATATGGCATTTTTATCCTTTTAGATCAAATTTTGCTGCAGGAAATGGATAACGTGTTGGCTCTCTGTATTATTCTGGAATTTCGGATGGCTTCTCCAGTTTGCTGCTTCCCTGGACACCAAACATAACATTCCCTGTTCTAGGACCTGCTTCAAGTTGGTCATAAGACTGGCAGAAAGTCAAACTAAACTAAATGAATAGTTGTTGAAGTTAATCTCACGTCCTGGAGCTGTGTGTGCTATGGAATAGCCTGCTGTTATTACCAGGCATAACGCTGATCAGAATCACTGCTCTGTGGTCTTGTTCATCAGAATTTCATGTTTGGAAATTAGATTTGGGTCTGGTTACTGTAAAAATAGATATTATGATAATGGAATATAGCCATTAAAATTTCTATTGCAGAAGAAATTAGCCATGTATTTAAATGTAGGAGTATGTTACTAAACAATATGTTCAAGATGATTCCAGTATTGTTTAATGTTATACAGACATAGACAAATACTGGAAAAAGGCACTCAAAGTTAACCTTAAGGAATGGAGGTACCAGTGATTTCATTTGACTTGTTTACTGTTCAGAATCTTCCTGGATGAAATGTACTACATCTATACTCAGATAATTTTTAAAGGAATCTATTTTTCATACCAATACCCCAGAGTCAAAATATGCAAAAGATACCACTAAAAAGTGGTGAATTAGGTCTACCTAAAAAGGTCTTATGATTCTCGCCACTCAAAAACCATTGTAGATTTTGCTCTTGTCTTGCATGCATCGTTTTTTTTTTTTTTTTTTTTTCTTTCACTTTAAAAATTCATGTACTAGATGCTAGGAGTAAATGAACGATACAGGTGCGGCTTCTGCCCTCTCAGAACTAACTAGTTGTCTGGGGAAGATAGAACAAGCCGACAGAAACAATCTAGCATGTCACAGTCAAAAACACAGTTTCATGCCTACTCCATTAAAACACCTAACCCTCCTTTTTACACGTCAAATTCCGGCTTTGGCACGACAGCTCACAAACACATTGAACTCGCACGCTGGCACTCACTGTCGGCCATTGCTTCAGCTTGAGCCACGTCCCCATTGTCCACAAACTCATGTTCAATTACTAGAGTACTAGTGAGTTATTTGGGTATTAATTTGCTCTTATTTTAGAAAAATGTAATTGCAAATACTAGTCATTGAACACGTAGGTCTTATAAAAGTAATTTGAATGATATAAAGATGGAAATCATTGTGTGCCCGGAACTGAATCTAGCCTCAGTCAGATACTCAGACATTCATGAAATGAAGCCCAGTAAACTGAGTGAAACTAAAGAAGAAACAAGAGAACAAGTATAACTAAACTAAACTAAACTAAACTAAAGAAGAAACAAGAGAACAAGTATAAGATCCCGGAAATAATCATTGTTAAATTTTGTGGCTAAAGTTTTGGTATGTTCAGAGATTTTGATCTTAATTTTTTAGTTCTGTTAAGAAAGGATTCCCCCTAAATAAGTTTACTGTTTGATTTTTAAAGTTTTTTAATGTTTATTTATCATTGAGAGAGAGAGAGAGAGAGGTAGCACGAGTGGGGGAGAGGCAGAGAGAGAGGGAAACACTAAATTTGAAGCAGGCTCCAGGCTCTGAGCTCTCAGAACAGAGCCCAACGTGGGGTTTAAATTCACGAACCATGAGATCATGACCTGAGCCAAAGTGGGAAGCTTAACCGACTGAGCCACCCAGGCATCCCTGATTTTTAGATCCGTGGTCAGTTATGCTTTATGTTTGAAAGTTGGAAATGGCCTGTGGTGGCTCACCATTGCCTACGGAATATATTTTAAGTCATTTATCACATGAGTGATGTTAAAATCCGCAAGTTCATAATGACACTGAGAAAAGAAAATATACATATAAGTCACCTAGAAGTTGCGATAGTAAGTTGCTACATTATATGGTAACGACGATTGGTAAATAAAGGAAAAGAATCAAGCATTCTGCTTCTCTTATACAAATTGCATTTTAGGGTAACCAGAGTTGTAAAGGGCAAGCCCTTTTGTATACAGTATTTCCAACTGATAAAGGTAAGAGAAATGACAAAAGACCATTTTTCAATCTCCTAATAAAATAATAGACAACACCGGAACCCACTGATCAATTTTAACATCACTCAGAGTCGAATGACCACACATCATATGCTTCCTGATGTGGTGCGATCAAAATATGCTGAATCACCTATGCAGTATTTTTGCCACTCCCCAAATATTTTGAGTTTAAATCCAATAAAGCCTCTAAATGTAACAGTTTATGAGAAGGGAGAATGAACAATATAGGAAAGTGTAAAACAACACCAGAGAAGATGTGATCAACTAAACCCAGACTGTGGAAACTTCTACAGCACAAATGACAGGATTTCTTCAACAAATAAGTTATCTTAATAAATTAAAGAGATTAAAGGCATGCCTGGTGGCTCAGTCAGTTGAGCATCCGACTCCTGATTTCAGCTCAGGTCATGATCTTACGGTTCCTGAGTTCGAGCCCTGCTTGGGGCTCTGTGCTGACAGCATGGAGCCTGCTTGGAATTCTCTCTCCTTCTCTCTGCCCCTCCCCCACTCGTGCTCTCTCTTGCCCTCTCTCTCAGAAATAACTAACTTTAAAAAGAGAGAGAGATTTAAGAGACCTAATGACCAAGTACAGCATGTGGATCCTGATTTGACAAACCAGTTATAAACAGACATTTTTGAAACAGTTGGGAAACTTGACCAGAGGCTGGATATTAGGTGGTAGTATATAATTTTGTCTTTGTCATAACGATGCTTTCGAAAGCAGTCTGCTAGAGTCGTATACTGAATAAGGATGAAATTTCAATGATCTCCAGGATTTCCTTCAAAATACTCCAGGGGGAAGGGGAGGAGTGGCAGAAGAAATGAAAACAAGATTAGGTGAGGATTGTTAAGTGTTAAAGCAGAGTGATGGGTCCATGAGGTGAGAACTGGGGTTTAATACCGCATTCTCTATTTCGTGTGTATGTTTTAAATTTTCCGTAACTCGAAGTTAGATTTAAATCGGTCAATACATACATACTTAACACGCAAATGTACATAAAGGCTTTAGAGCATTTTGTTTCTACACCCAACTTATTCCCTGGGGAAGTGACTGAGTGAACGAATACAAAGAACTGTAATACTAGGATCCCTGAGCCAGTTGGTGTGGGTGCACCCTCTAAATGTGTAATCCCGAGGAAAGGAGCATCTCCTTTTCTTTCTTCTGGAACCACCGAGGGGAAGTGTCCCAGTGATGGCCACAATGAGGACAGGAAGCACAATCCAAGTCCCTTTCTTCCAATGGCTTTTGTGTCCACAGGCGATCAACGTAGTGGCAGCTAAAGTCCATGGTGACACTGGAGCTTGGGTCTGAGTTAGGGTGTAATTATTTCAGACTGGTGCTTCATTCGGTATAAGGACACTGCTCTCAAAAACTGCGGGCAACTGCAGAGGTTGACAAGGGCATTGCTTTCCAAGGTAATAGCCTTGGAACGCTCTGGAGTCAGCGATGACACTGGGCTCCCAGCTACTACAGCGGTTAGGGTAACCCCTTCCAGAGCAATCAGCCATGATTGTGACTGCTGTCATTCCTAGACGGACAGGGGAAAGGGCGATGCGTGGGACAAGAAGACAAGAGTTCATGGAGTGCCTGGGTAGCTCAGTCGGTTGAGTGACCGACTTCAGCTCAGGTCATGATCTCACGGTTTGTGAGTTCAAGCCCCCGCATTAGGCCCTGTGCTGACAGCTCGGAGCCTGGAGCCTGCTTCAGATTCTGGGTCTCCTTCTCTCTCTGCCCCGCCCCCCTCATGCTCTGTCTCTCTCTGTCTCAGAAATAAACATTTAAAAAATTAAAAAAAGACAAGAGTTCTGGATTTCCCACTGATCTAGACATGTGAGGCCTACACTGACACACCAGAGGCATCCCTATGTTGAATCACTGAGTGTTCATCAACTGGTGAGGCAGGATTTATTCATTGCCCTGCTCTTGAATCGCATGATTGTATCATTATATTTAATGGCAATAAGTCTGACTATGACTCAGAGGTGTGACTAGAAAATTCCTCCCACTCCCTTGTCCCTTGTGTAATCTTGGGCAGGTCGTTCTTCTGGAAATTTGGATAATAATACCTTGCCTCTCTACCTCCCGGGTTGTGTTGAGGATCTGAAGACATAATATGTGGAACTATAGTTTTTGTAAGCTATCAAATGCTATACAAATATAAGGCATCATTACTACTGTATGTGACTAGGTGATCCATATCTTAAAGCCCCTTATTTTCTTTGATTCTGGGTTAACAATTAATGTTTAATTAGTACATTATAAAATTAGATAGTCAAGAAACAACTACAGAGAAGTTTAGCATATAGTATGATCTTTCTACTTTCTTCTATGTTACATAGGAATTCCTAGAAATAGGAAGATCTTATCCAGTTATATCCTTTATATATATACATTTTTTTCCTAATTATATCCTTGAATGCATGCTCATTAATTTAGGAGACAAACAAATTGCTCTATACCTCATTAATAATGCTTATTACTTTACAATCTCAATTTCATAAGTCAATATTTCTTTTGTCCAATAATATTTTAAAAACTGGGGGGCTAGGGCAGAAGTTGACAAACTGTAGCCTGTAAAACAAATCTGGCTACCACTATTTTGTATGGCCTGCAAACTAAGAATTGTTTTGACATTTTGGAATATTTTTATTTTCTATTTTCTTTTAGAGAGAGAGCACATGAGCAGCGGAGAGGGGCAGAGTGAGAGAGAGAGAGAGAGTCTCAAGCAGGCTCCGCGCCAAGCCCCTTGAATTTTTTTTAATCAAAAGAAGGATATGAAGTTCATTTTAGTGTGTATTTATCAGAACACAGCCACATTCATTCAGTTATGTACTGTCCACGGCTGCAACAGCAGTTGACTAGTTGTGAGTGAGACCGTATGGTTTACAAAGCCTAAAGTATTTACTATCTGGCCCTTTATAGAAACAGATTCAAAAGGACATAAATTTAAAAATAAAATTTCTGGGGCACCTAGGTGACTCAGCACGTGAAGCGTCCAACTCTTGTTTTCAGCTCAGGTCATGATCTGACAGTTGTTGAGTTCAAGCCTCCCCCTGGGCTCTGTGCTAACAGCATGGAACCTGCTTGGGATTTTCTCTCCTCTCTCTCTCTGCCCCTCTCCCCCGCTCACACTCTCTCAAAATTAAAAAAAAAATTTTTAATTTTTAATGTTTTCAGTATTTATTTTTTAGAGGGAGAGAAAGAGAAATACAGAGTGTGAGTGGGGGAGGGGCAGAGAGAGAGGGAGACACAGAATCCGAAGCAGGCTCCAGGCTCTGGCTGTCAGCACAGAGCCCAACGTGGGACTCGAACCCACCAACCGTGAGATCATGACCTGAGCCAAAGTTAGATGCTTAACCAACTGAGCCACCCAGGTGCC